TCAAGCCTTTACGCTTATCTAGTGTTTTTATTTGTCCAACATTATATGTTCTTAACTAATTTGAATTAATTGATAGGACTTCTCAACTCAGCGGAATAGAGCCTCTGGTGAATTAAAAGCAGACTATGAAACTGAACACCAATTTTGACGGATATGAAATGACTTGAGACAAGAGATTATAAGCTGTCTATCTCTCTTGCTTAAAAAAAAATGACAATAAAATAAAAATTATATTACCATGACAACCGTACACTTCCACTCTCATTGATGCATGCGCGTACCAGGTGATGATTTGAAAACGGATATATCGCGTCGTGATTGGCGGAATGAGGTCATGTGATACAACAGTGTGACTATCAGTGTTTCCAGCAAATTCCTAAGTAAGCAAAATATAACATGTTCTTTTTCCTATGTCTATTTCGGTTGTCGCCGCATGGTTGGCTCCTACAACCATGCCGTTTGATAGAATTTGTTTTTTTTTTAATCTTTTAATGTATTCTCTCGGCTTCAAGGTCAGGAACTTGATCAAAAGCTGGGCTTAAATCAAATTCACCCAGCGGGTTTGCCCCATCCTGTCAATGACGCTGACGTATAGTCAGCGTTCTTAGTTACAGCTAATCTTTACGCGAGAACACGAACCCACCTTAGTTGCATTTTGTTGCTCTTGTCCTTTGTAGTATTGGAAGATACCAGTGTCATTATTGGCGTACAGCAGCGAATATTTTGTTACCCATTGATTATGGTTATGTCTTCCTTGAGTTGCCACCCGTGTTATTCGGGTGTTGCGCTTCAACAGATCAATCTGTAGCCAAGGATAGACATCGCTAGGGGAAGCGGCCCAAGCCCCTTGCTTGATGTGATTTCCCATGAAGTTCAATCTGCCTTGTACGCAGGCATGATCAATATCGTATTCCGAAGAGGCACTGATCTGTGCGTCAGTTATTTCACCATTCTCCATACCAAGAGCACCATTGCAATCTAAATGGTCGATGAATTAGTTATAATATGAAGAGTGTATCCCTTTCTATTAGTGGAGGCTATGTGGCCGAGTGGTTGGGGGCACTTGGCTCGAAATATTTATATATTTATATATATATGCATAAAAAAATATAAATTATGCAGAACATTGCCCAGTCGAGCTGTATAAGAGATATTTGTCTCACGTGCCTAAAGAAATTAATGATTACGCATTTTATTCGCTTGCTTTGCCCAAACCGAGAGGAGAAGTGTGGCACTAAATTAACCCAATGCGAAGAGAAAGGTTAGGAAATGTAGTAAGGAAATCACGACGAAGGCAGTATTTGAGGGGAATTTCATAAACCACTCTCACAGGCGAAGTTCCGCCACGCGGTTGTACCAAAGCGGTGTACCAGAACAAGTTAATGTAGAAACCATAGGTCGCCGGTCAATTGTCGAAAAGGATGTCGAGGGAAAAGACAAAGAGTTGTTTGAGAATCATGTTAAACACAATGAAGAGAAAAAAATGAGAGTAAACGCGTAAGCTTTTGAGGAAAAGAACAATGTAGAGCACTAGAATCAGTCAGTCGAAGTTAGAACCAATATTACTAAAATTGTTATTTCATATAAGAAAGAAATTTTGCTGCTGTAAGATGTGTAATTGTAATAAATAAAGCAATAAAACAAAAAAATCGAAAGCGTTCGCGGCTGCAATATTAAAAATACTGCTTGTGACCAACGCACCAGCAATAAATTTGAGAGGAATTTAATTCTTGATGACATGGTCGAACTTTTCTAGTTACACGCCATTGCCAGTGGTTTCTAAGTAAAGTATTGCGAACATAATACATCAAGAACGGAACGACTAATTACAAGATTGGAAATAACAAGAAATACGTATAACATAGGCAATACTAATAACATAAGGAACACGGGATACTCGATAATAGAGCAATTTACTTGACGATTTTGAAATACGGCTGCATAAGAAAGTACTTGCAGTGACCTTCTACTCGAGCTAACACCGTTATATTTGCATGATTCGCGCGAAAGTCAAACTTATATGGATAGCCGCGCGGACTGGGGCTAGTAGGGGGATTGGTGTCTACACTGCTGGATATTGGATGTACCATTATTATTATTATTATTATTATTATTACTATTATTATTATTATTATTACTTTTATTATTTCTAGCCCGTTTAGAAGTACCCCTGATAAGGGCGCACAATAGGATTTTACTGGGATCGGTAATTATATATATAAATGTACTGTCCAGCCAACGGGTAATAATGACAAAAAGGCTTTTAGCGATAGAAGGTCATCTATGATAAAACATTTGCACAACGAAATGTATAAAAGTCAATAAGAGGAGTATTCATCACACACTGAAACCTATACTTCGGTCAGGGTCTTTAGGGTTCATAACCAGTTAGAAAATTATCTTATAAAAAAAAAAAATAGGCTCATTCGAAAAGGGTTCATTAGAACTGAGACTTTTAAGAATTCTCTCTTACAGAAGCCAAAAATTTTCTTTTCACTTGACCTAATTGAGAGAACACTTACTTGGCACCCTCTAACTACAAAATGTTTTCATTGTCTCAAAATAATTTCTTTGTTAATCAGGTGAGAGTAATAAATCATTATGGCTCCCCAAGGACTGCCTAGTTGAAGTTCAATAGTCACTCCTTAGAAGATCTCTAAAACTATAAATAAGTGCATTCATACCACTTTCACACAACTGGCCAGTATATTTGACAGGACAATCACAGATGAATCGTTTTCCAGTCTCCTGACAGTTTTCCCGACACGTTCCTCCATTCAGACACGGCTGATCTTTGCAGCATTTGTTATAACACGAGGCACAAGCCTATACAACAATGACAGAAAAGTTTCTAATATCCCTCTGAAATGGAAATCTAGGGACTTGTAATTATTCGTCGCCTGGGGGAGGGGGCTCAGAGGATATTTTTTTTGGGGGGGAAAACTAGATTGTGTTCAGGTAGGACATAGAAGGGGGATTAACCGTCTCAAACTGAGTTTGAAGGGGGGGACTATGGCATATTGAGAACCTATTGAGGGGGACTGGGTCATTAGAATACTACAGACCCCGCAAGAGGAATCAGGTTAATTTCAGTTTGACAAAACCAAATTCATCTCACAACCACCGCCTCCCCCACTACGCCCCTTGCTTTCCCATTTTTGCTCTCACTATGTTTCTGCTTCTTTTTCTTCCGCAATTTTGAAGGTTATTTAAATCGGTTTTCTACACATAAAAATCCTTGTTTCTTGTTAAAAATATATCGGGGTCTAAGTATGAATGGCGTTAAATACCTCTTTACACAGCAAGGGAAAATATTGTTGAATCATTTTTAACCAACCCTATATTCAATAACCATGTCGTAGTACATCCAACCACCCATTGGTTTCAACGCATCAGGCTTCAGATGTCTGTTTTCTTCATTCAGTTGACAGTTGTCCTGGTTGGTATTTGTCAAGAAGTTGAACGAGATGCACCGACAGTTTGGTCGGCATGCTTTGTAACAATCCATCACTCCTGCCACGGAAACATTTGCAAACACGTAACCAATCAGGGCATTTCCATCCACCATGTTCTTCCCAATGATAAAGGAAAAGCTAGTGGAACACTGACCAATACTGCAAGAACCCATGGCGACGTTTGTAGATATTCCAACAGTTGAGAAAAAAACAAATAGAAACCTGCGGAGAAAAGCCTCAGGATATTATTTTCTTTTCCCCGCTGGTGACAAGACTTTAGCTTCTTCCTTTCTTTCAACTTTGCGAATAAGCTTGTAGTTGATGGGTAAAGTTTATGGTGTAACATTTTAATTATTTCGTTATTCGGTGGTATTCTGAATTTTGAAATAAAGAATATACTAAGTTTAGAAGCGTTCAGCCAAAGTACAGAAGCTAGCTGGTAAAAGAATAAGTCTGTACCCAAGCCAAGTGGCCTATCCAGCCCGAGCATATCCCGGTTTCCACGTAGCATGAAGCGACTAAGAGTCTATCCACGCTTCCCTGAACGGGATGCAAATTCATCGCAAGATTACCTTCCCGCATTTAATTCGGCATCCCTGACAATTGGTCGCGACCCATTTATACTCCTACGTGGAGGGAGGCACTGCAAAAGGTAAAGTGTTTTACCCAGGCACAATGAACCGGTTGGTCTCGACCTGGAGAATAGGGCTCCTATTATTAGGCTATTGGGCGTGTCTTATATGAAAGCTAGTTGATCAACATATTTTTTTGTTCATGACTCTCTGTCACAACTTAGATCAGTCGATACCTTGTCTTACTGAGAAAATAGTGTGCTGCTAGTTTACCAATACTTTTAGTTGGCTGACAACGAATTTGATCAGAGAACACATTCTCCTATCGTGAATCTGTTGTTAAACAGATTGTTTTTTATTGCCACGGTCCAGTCATTATTTATGGCCGGGGAGGAGTTTGGAGGACTTTGATTATGTCTCGACAAATTTACCTGATCATATCTGCCATAACTATAGGTCATAACATGGCTTCGAGTGCAATTTGGAGTAAATAAGCACGAGTAAATTTTTCAAAGAAAACAAATTGCACGAGCCCGTATAGGGCAAGCAATTTATTTTGTCTTAGAACTGTTTGCTTAACCCTGAGTTACCGGCCGGCTCTTTTCATGACTTGCTACGAAACTGCGAAGCCAATTTGTTGTACCGTTGGTCACACCTCAGGAGTATCATTTCAAATGGATAGCACAACAGGAAATTTTTGTCCCCTTAATTAACCTTTCACCCTGCGGAGTAATCACGGTATATCCTCGCCATAAAATTGTCTACACACTTTTAAGTGGAAAAGTTGTAAGGAATCCTTGAAAAAGATAGCACTATCTACACGTATCAGAAACCATATCAGAAAAACTTTCCCAATATTATTCATATGGTTTTTTCATTATTAGGGCATGAGATAATTAATGTTTGATACCTAAGGTGTTTGGTGAAATGTTTACATTCGTTTTACCTGTCTGATTTCCGCCTCCAGTGCAGATTTTGTTACTCAACTACCTTTTGAGAATTTTGTAAATTCGTGTACTGGATTTCAGCGTAGCCGAATGAAAATATTTCTTAGTAGTCGATAGTTGAACTAAAATAACCAATTCTTAATCAACCAAAATTTTACTAACTTAGATCGTAGTTAGTCAAATTCCATTGTTATAGTATTTAGAATTACTTAGGATAAAACGATACACAAAGAAATTGGGAAAAAAAAAGTATCATGGCTAAACCAACCCAAAGCTAGCCAAAGTCATAGCTTACTTAAAAAAGCCTTCCCAACATTATTAATATGGTTTGTCATTAGTACGGCATGGGATAATTGATATTTGATAACTAAGGCGTTTGGTGAGTTGTTTACGTTCGTTCTACCTGTCTGATTTCCGCCTCCAGTAAAGATTTTATCTTTCAACTTCAAAACAGTGCTTTTTACTTTTGTAAATTTTGTTGATTCGCAAACTGGATTTCAATGTAGCTGAATGAAAATCTCTCTAAATAGTTGATAATTGCCATAAAAGACACCAATTTCTAATTAACCAACACTTTCAAGTACTAACTTATATCGCAGTTTAGTCAGACTTAAGCTAACTTAATTGTTACAGTATTCAGAATTACTAACGATAGAGCGATAGACTGAAGGAAATAGAGATGTAAACAAAAAAAAAATAGGTAAATGGTTTAACGAGCCAAAGCTGGCCAAAGTCGTAGCTTACTTACATTTCAAAGTCGTAAGAATCCCGCTTTGATATCTGTACTGCAAGGTCTCCGGATGAACGCCTTTCCTAAACGAAGGATAAACGTTTTCAAAGAATATTTAATTTATTTGTGACATCAATGTGCGTGATAAAGGAATGCTACAGGTTCAATCCAATTAGCAATTAAACTTAATTACTACAATCCCGTATTACAATCGATGAATACTATTTATCTTAGAAACGACTTTAAAAAATGTGTCTTATTAACAAATTGTTGGAAACAAAATGTTCACCTTCAATGAATTTATTTAAAGCTTTATAATGAAAAAAAAAAAAAAAAAAAAAAAAAAAAAAAAAAAAAAAAGAAAAAAAAAACATCCAAGCGGATTAAGATCTATGTTGTATCATCCCGTAATCGTCCAGCACCCGTGATTTCCGTACCACCATCGCTACAATTCAGTAAACCTTTGACATTGATTTCGATTCATTTTAGAAAGAAAGAAAAAAATGAAAAACGTAAATTTTAGTGGAATGTACGTTTCATCAGTTCAAGGACCGCCACTTTATACATTTGTCTATCTTTTCATTTTCAGCCATCTTATTCCCTCTTTGTTCAACTTTTCTATTTCAATATTTTTCCCTAAAACCATTTTTAAATCCATATTTTGGTTCACTTTAACTTGACGAAGTGTCGTTACGTGATCCATTTTAAAATCGAAATTTCACTTGGATCAATACATTGAAACATATAGACAAAACATTGAGGTACAATGGACAATATTGATACCTTTTTCACACTGGCTCTTTAAATTCTGCTTGCAATTTATTTTAAAATGTAGCCGGATGAACTACTCTAACAGCCACCAGCTTCCTCGTCGAAAAAGGCCGCAAAGATTAAGGCTTAATGAAAATTCATAAGTCCAAATCAAAATCAGCCGGTCGAACAACAATTAAACGCACTCTGGGTATTTCACTGTCTCAAAAGAGTATCCACAGAAGCCCTTTTTCAGTCTGTTTTGCCATTTTAATGAATTGCAGGTCATTACCACTAATTAACTTTCT